CTCTTCCACCAATCCTGATGCCACATTCCTCTTCATACAGCCCATTGTCTCGGATGATCTGTTCTGCATACAGATTGGAAAGGTATGGAGACAGAATACATCCCTGATGGACCGACCCCGTTCTTGATTTTGAACCATGTAGTGTCTCCTTGCTCTGTTCTGATGACTGCCTCTTGGTCCAAGTATAGGTTTTGCATTGGCACAATCAAATGTTTGGGAATTTCCATTCTTCTCAGAGTCACCCACAGCTTGTCGTGATCCACACAGTCAAAAGCCTTTGCATAGTCAATGAAGCACAGATAGACATTCTTCTGGTATTTGCTTTCTTCCAAGATCCATCTAACATTAGCTATAATACCCCTGGTACCATGACCTCTTCTAAACTCAACATCTGGCAGTTCTTTGTTGACATATTGTTCCAAACATTTTAAAATAATTTTCAGCAGAATCTTGTTTGCATATTAATGATATTGTTTGATAATTTCTGCACTCTGTTGGGTCACCTTTCTTTGGAATGGGAACAAATATTGATCTTTTTCAGTCAGTGGGCCAGCTGGCTGTCCTCCAGATTTCTTGGCACAACTTAGTGAGCATATCCAGGGTAGTGTCTGTCTGTTGAAATATGTCGATTGGTATGTTGTCAACTCCTGGAGCCTTTTTTTTTGCCAATTCCTTCAGAGCAATTTGAACTTCTTTCTTCATCACCATAGGTTCTTGCTCATATGTCATTTCATGAAATTCCTCTGTGTCAGCCAATTCCTTCTGATACAGTGACTCTGTGTATTCTTTCCATCTTCTCTTGATACTTCCTGGATCATTTAACATTCTACCCAAAGTATCCGTAAGTATTGCCACCCTGGCTTGAATTTGTTTTTCAGCTCCTTCAGCTTAAGAAATGCTGAGCGAGTTCGGCCCTTTTGAATTTTCTGACTCCAGCTCTCTGCACATTTCATTATAATATCTTGCTTTGTCGTCCCCAGCTGCCTTTTGAAATTTTCTGTTTAGCCCTTTGATTTCTTGGTGTCTTCCTTTAGCTTTGGCTTCTCGGCTCGACATCCATCTTGGTCTTTTCTTCTTTTTCAGCCTTTGTAATGATCTTTTGCATTCTTCATGGACGATTTTCTTGATATTCTCCCAGAGCTCATTTTGCCTACGCTCATTGGTGCTCAAGGCCTCAAACCTGTTTCTGGTTTTGAAATTCGACTGGGATAGACTTAAGATCAAATTTTGGTTCCCGTGGACTTGATTTAATTTTCCTCAACTTCAGCTTGAACTTGCGTATGAGTAGTTGGTGGTCTGTCCTATAATCAGGAGTTAAGGGGTGGTCCAGAGAGGGGCATGTGAAAGGCAGGAAGTCCTCCCTTGGCCCTGACCTGGGACATAGGACAAAGGATGGAAAGAACTCAAGAGAAGTTTCATTTAAAAATGGTGGAGCTGATGAGGCTGGGTAGGAAAGTCTGGTAATTTAAGTTACTCTTCACCCTTGCATCTTGGTCTCCCACAATATCAGGTAACCTCAGGCCGCAATAGCCAGCGCACGCACCCCGAAGCATTGCCGGAAAAAGAGGTTTTTTTGGAATCGGGAAGGAGAGAGAGGCGGAGCTTTTCAGATCTGCAAATTCTAACCCAGAAAATATAAGTACCAAAAATTCTAAAATGTCATGAAGTCATAATTCTTTCCTAAATTTCACTGATTTTCCATCTTTAAATTTAGAGATAAATTGTTATTAAAAAGGATACCAAGTACCAATATTTTCAGGGAGCTCTTGTGGCCTAGTTTCAAGAAATTGAGCTGCAATTTTGAAGACATACAGTTAATCTATCAGCTGCTCTGCAGGGGAAGGAGGGATAATCTCCTCCCAGGGCTGAAAAGCCATCGGAGGGTCAGCTATGGATCAGTTCCAACTTGATGGTACACAACAACCACCAATATTTTCCAATGTTATAAACTGTTACTTTGTTAACACAAACAGGTTCACAATTTATTATTACAAACATTAGCTACACATTTAAATTTTGAACTTTTCACAGCACACAACAAAATTGTTAGGAAAATTAAATGACCACAACCAGAACATACATAGTTCTGACACTGAGAGACACGATAAAGCAGTGGTTAATGACAGAATCTTACTAAAAGCAGCATGTAAATAGACTTAATTTAAATGTTAAAGTCATAAATACATGACTATAAATCCAATTGTCATTAAGTATGCTTTGTGTTTTTCAACAGCCTCGTGCATGTGAAAGCTTGACAGTGGCTAAGGAAGATGCAAGAAAATCGATGTATTTAAATGATACAGTGTTGGTTAACAATACTGAATATACCACAAATTATCTGAACAGCAAATATGGCTTGGAAGAAGTATATGCTCCTTATAATTCAGGATAATGAGATTACATATTTTGAGTAAATTATTAAAAGGGACTAGATCCTGGAGGAGGACATTGTGGCTGATGCAGAGTCTCACACCTCCCACTGGGTGAACTGACAAGGGCTATAGCAGTGGACTCCTAACTTAATGAGTGTGAGCTAACAACAATATTTAATAAGGGCTGCGTTTGCTGTATGGGTTACATAAGAACAATTACCACACTATGTTAAGGCCATCTTGAAATACTTGTTGAATGAATGCACTCTATTGAAGTTCTTTACTTGAGTTTTACTTTCATTGCCTTTGAATCAGGACCAGCTCATAGCTCTTCAGTGAGTTGTTGGGTTGTTTTTCTTTTTTCTTTTTTTTACATTATTTTTGTGTGAGTGTACCATCAAATCAGATCTGACTGGTACAGCAGGAGATTGTCCCTCCTTCCCCGGCAGAGCGTCTGGTGGATTTGAACCGTTCGCCTCTGGGATTGTAGTTGCAGCTCCTTGCCACGAGGCCACCAGAGCTCCCCTGGCTTGTTTTTCTTATTGCATACTGTCAAGTTGGATCTGACTGGCACAGCAGGAGATTGTTCCTCCTTCTTCAGTAGAGCATCCGGTGGATTCGAACCATATTTGCAGTGCAGCTTCTTGACACTATGCCATTAGAGTGACCTTCCAGTAGGTTTTTGAAGGATGTAAATGAAGGAGGAAATATTCCTTTTCTCTGTTCAGATAACAACTTCTGGGTCTAGGTTTTTCAAGAGCACAATGAAGTGTTCTAAGATTCCCATTCTTCTGAATGTTAGGCATAATGTGTTATGATCCATACAGTCAATGCCTTTGCATAGTTAATAAAACATAGACATCTTTCTAGTAATCCCTGCTCTTAGCCAAGACCCATCTGACATCAATAGTGATATTCTTGGTGCTGCCCCGCTTCTTCTAACTTGACCTTCTCGAGGTTCTCTGTTGATGTACTGTTCTAGTTATTTTTTTCTAATCTTCAACAAGATTTTACTTGCATGCGATATTAATGATATTACTTGGTAATTCCCACATTCTGTTGGGTCGTTTTCCTCAAGAATGGTGTGTGTCAGGGCTGTATACTTTCTTCACACCTTCCCCTCTGCCTAAACTAACATTATTTTATTTTATTATTTTTTTGTGTGTGAACCATCAAATCAATTTTGACTGGTACAAGAGGAGATTACCTCTCCTTCTCCAGCAAAGCATCTGGTGGATTTGAACTATGTACCTCTGGGATTGCAGTGCAGCTTCTTGCCACTAGGCCGTCAGGCTCCCCTCTCCATACCTTTTTAACCTGTATGCTGAGCAAACCATTTGAGAAGCTGGACTTTAGGAAGAAGAATGTGGCATCAGAATCAGGAAAACTCATTAACAACCTGCAGGTGACATAATCCTGATTGCTGAAAGCTATAGCTTTCAATATGGATCAAGAAAACAAAAATCCTCTTAATTGGGTCACTAGACAACATCACAATAAATGGAGAAAAGATTGAGGTAGTCAACGGTTTCATCTTCCTTGGATCCACAATCAACACTTTTGATACCAGCAGTCAAGAAATCAAAAGACATGTTGTATTGGGAAACTCTGCTTTTGAGGACCTTTCTAGCTAAAGAGCAACGATATCAGTTTAAAGGCTTTTAGTATTTTACACTTTAGTACACCTGATTCAAGGCATTTTTAAAAACTTTATTATTTTGTGTGCATGTACCGTCAAATTGGATCTGACTGGTATAGGAGGAGATTGTCCCTCCTTTTCCAGCAGAGCATCTGGTGGATTTGAACTGTGTGCCTCTGGGATTGCAGTGCAGCTTCTTGCCACTAGGCCACCAGAGCTTCCTGGCTTCCCCCCCCCCCCCCATCACTTGCTGGGCGTCTGAAAAGGGCAAATGAGTAGAGAAGAAGAATTGAAGTCTTTGTGTTTTGGCGTTAGAAAAATGAATACCTTACGGACCGTCAAATACATCTTGGAGAAAGTGTAACTAGGATGCTTTTTAGAGGCAAAGGTAACAGAACTTCGTCTTACATACTTTGGACATGTTGTTAAGACAGTACATTTCTTGGGGGAAACATCGTGCTTAGAATGGGGGGGGGTCAGCGAAAGAGAGGAAGCCCCTCAACGAGATGGACGGACTGTAGCAATGGGCTCAAGAGTGTCAGGTATGATGAGACAACGTAGAATAGGTCCAAGTTCAGATCCATTGCTCTAAGGTCACTATGAGTCATATCTGACACGAGGGCATCCAACAACAACAAATCGCTGGGAACCACAGATGGATTCGAACCGCTTTGGGGCTAGCAGTGCAACTCTCTACCGACCACACCACTGCGTTCCTGTAACTATGGCTGCGTCATTCATTATCGAATGGCGTTTAAGAGGATTTCTTGATCATCCGATACCTCCCAGGACCTTGTCGACATCGTTGGAGCGATTCGTCACGGAAGCACGGGAGGGGCGGGGCTTCACAGACGGAGGGATCCAATAGGAACAGCGGAGGGCGCGGAGTCCCGCCCCCTGCGCCTTTAGGTCGGAAGCCCGAGCTGCGCGTGCGTTAGTGTTTCCGGGAATCGGCAGCGGGGGCCGTGGACTCGGGGTTCCTCGCCGAGATGTTTTACCACGTGAGCAGCGCGCGGTGATGGCGTAGTGGTCCGGGGAGGTGGTCAGGACCTGGCTTGATCACCTTTCCATTTCCCCACAGATCTCCCTGGAGCATGAGATCTTGCTGCACCCGCGCTACTTCGGCCCCAACTTGCTCAACACCGTAAAGCAGAAGCTCTTCACCGAGGTGGAGGGGACCTGCACGGGGAAGTAAGTGTCCCTCGCTCCGCGCAGCCTGCTCCTGGACAGCTGTGTCCTGTCTGCATCCCGCACCTTTGCCCTCCACGCTGTGAGGTCCGGTCCTCTCGCCCCCTCTGCCACGCTGCCTCCTGGTTTGCCGTGGGTTCCCTCGTTGGGCCCCGCTGCAAAGATGAATAGTAGGATTTCCTGCCTTTAGCGGAGGCAGTCGTTGATGTACCGGTGTATTCAGGCCCTCAGGATGCTGGATCCTGTGCTGGGTTCCTCTGTGCACGGCTTCGCTGAGATCGAAGCCAGCTCTCATCCACTGTCACTCTTGTATCTGTTCTCTGTGATTCTGCAGGTTTTCCCACTCCCTTGTCCCAGGCCGCGGTAGATGTTTGCTGAATGAATGAATGACCACGGAAAAACAGACTTAAAGTTTGGGCGAGGAACTTGCCCATTTTTTGCAGAGAACCTGCTGCTTTTATTTTTTTAAATTACGAATTTTGTTTTATGCCAGTATTTCAGTATTTTAATTTATGTAATTATTTCTTTTAATAATTAACCGCCAAACCAGGCAGGAAACAGCTTTTTGAAGAAAAAAAAATTAACCACACTCTTCCCACTTCCTCCCTGAGTCTTTTTTTTGTTTCAATTGATTTTTTTTTAATTATTATTTTGTGTGCGTGTACCGTCAAATCAGATCTGACTGGTACAGGAGGAAATTGTCCCTCCTTCTCCGGCAGAGCATCTGGTGGATTCGAATCGTGTACCTCTGGGATTGCAGTGCAGCTTCTTGCCACTAGGCCACCAGAGCTCCCCTTCAATTGATATTTTAATGAAAGTTTATAGAGAACTTGGATTTCCCTTAATTCATTTTTGCATTTTTCTCCCAACCCCCCCCCCCAGTTCACTTTTCTCTTTGAAAAAATTATTTCATTGTTGCATAATCCCCCCCACTTCCTATGTAGCTCCAATTCTGGACCGTTGTCATGCAAATAATACCTAATCACATATTCCTTTTTTACCCCTCTTATCTGTTTAAATGCAGTATACATTATTTATCCCCCCTTTTCTTAGTTTTCCCCAACCCTCATGTCAGTCCTGTTTTATAACAGTGGCAGTATGTAGTATTTGTGCTTTTGTGATTGAGATATTTCACTCAGCATAATGGCCTCCAAGGTCACCCATTTTGTATACTATTTCATGAATTCCTTGTTTTTCAGTGCTGCGTAGTATTCCATTGTTGGAATATACCAAAGCTTCTCTATCCATTCATTTGTTGATGGGCGCTTGGGTTGTTTCCATCTCTTTGCTATTGTAAACAACGCAGCAATAAATATGAGTGTGCATACAACTACTTGGGTGGCGGTTATGGTTTCTTTAAGGTATATTCGCAGTAGTGGAATTGCTGGGTCAAATGATATTTCTTTTTGCAACTTTTTGAGAAGGTGCCTTACTGCCTTCCACAATGGTAGCACCATTTTACACTCCCACCAACAGTGAATAAGGGTTCCAGATTCTTTTACAAACTTGCCAGCATTTGTTGTTTGCTACTCTGTTGAATTTTGCTATTCTTACTGGGGTGAGATGATATCTCATAATTGTTTTGTTCCCTGTGATTGTTTCCATTAATTCTATCCTCTCTATTCTTTTAATTCTATCCTTCTATTCTTCCTGCCTTTTATCCCTGGGCAGATGTTGCCCCTTTGATCTTGTGTGGTTGGTTGTTCTAAGTAGCTCGTACCTTCTGAATGTTATTTGTGTGTGTGTGTGTGCGCACGCGTACCATCAAATCGGATCTGACTGGTACAGGAGGAGATTGCCTCTCCTTCCCCGGCAGAGCATCTGGTGGATTCGAACTGTGCACCTCTGGGATTGTAGTTGCAGCTTCTTGCCACTAGGCCACCAGAGCTCCCCTCCTTCTGAATGTTATTGTTCACCTTATGTTATTATGTGTCATCTAGTCGACTATAACTGATAGCAACCCTGTGAGCCACGGCTCTGACCTTTGCCCTATCCTGAGCCATCCTCACCTTCTTTGACACCCCTGACCTCATTGCCACTGTCACTGTGTCAATCCATCCATCTTGGGTCTTCCTGTCCTGTGCTGGTCCTCTGCCATTCCAAGCATGATGTCTCGTTCCAAGAACTGGTCCCTCTTGGCAACATACCCCAAGTATATGAGACAGTTTCAGAATCTTTGCATCCAAAGAGAAACTTGGTTTTATGCACCCTCTCCAGGACAGATCTGTTTTCTTGGCAGTCCATGGTATATGTCCAGTACCCTTCTCCAGCATCACAACTCAAAGGCATCAATTCTTCTCTCATCCTTAGTCACTGTCTAGCTCTCAGATGCATGGGAAGCAATTGAGAAAACTGGCCTGGATCAGATCCACGTTAGTCTCTAGACTAACATCATTGTTCTTTATTACTCTGGAGAGGTCTTTGACAGCAGAGTATCCAAGTACAACTCACTTTTTGATTTCCTGACTACTAGTGCCAAAGGGGTTGAGCAAGATGTAATTTTTAACAGTCTCAATCCTTTCTCCATCTACATTGATACTACCAATAGGCCTGGTGGTGAGGATCTTTGGTTTCTTTCTTTCTTTCTCTTTTTTTTTTTAGGATCTTTGATTTTTTTAACGTTTAACTTCAGTCTATATCGAAGGCTGAAGTTCCTGACCTTCTGCACCAAAAGCTTCAAGTCCTCAGCAAGGTTGTGTCATCTGCATAGTGCATATGTTTTAAGTGAATCTTTCTCCAATTCTAAAGTCACATTCTTCTTCACAAAGTCCAGCCTCCTGGATGATCTATTCAGCATATAGATTGAAAAGATACGGAAAAAGGATACATCCCTGACATACTCCTTTCTTGACTTTGGACCATGCAGTGTTCCCTCGCTCTCTGTTTAGACAACAGCTTGGTCTCGGTGTATGTTTCACATGAGCACAATCAGGTATTCTGACCTTCCCATTTTTCTCAGCGTTTGCCACAATTTGTTGTGAGCAACACAGTCAAATGCTTTTACATGGTCGATAAAATACAAATAGACATCCTTTAGCACTCTCCGCTTTCAGCCAAGATCCATCTGACATGGACAATGGTGTCCCTAGTGCCACAGCCTTTCCTAAACCCAGCTTGTATTTCTGGCAGTTCTCTGCCAATGTACTGTTCTAGTCGTTTTTGGATAATCTTCCGCAAGATTTTGCTGGTATTTTTGGATTATTCACCTTATGTTGTTGTTGTTGTTGTTAGGTACCGTCGAGTCTTAGACGACTCGTAGTGACCCTATGAATGGAAGACCTGAGCACTGTTCATAGAGTTTCCGGAGACAAGCCATTTCTGAAGTGGAAGTCCATTAAACACTGTCCACCATGGGTAACCATTACCGCATTGGGCACATCAGTGTCACAGTCACAAGTTTTGTATTGTTCACCTTATAGGCCAGTTTATTGTTTGAATGCAAGTTGAGCCACTGGAGTGAGTTGTTCCAGAGGGGGAGTAAGGACTGCAGTCTCTGGAGTCTCACCAGTTTCTGTCTGACCAGTAGGCGTGGCTGATTGTGTGTTTTTTCATTTTCTTCAGCCCGCTCTGTCTGCAGGGGTAGCTGAGCGTCTTCTGGTTCTGGTCTCAGGTCGTGAAGGTTGAAGTTCACATGATCCAGAGCCCTTTGGACTCACTGCTTCTATGTATCTTTGCTTTTCTTCCCTTTTTTTTTTCTGTACGGGGACAGGGCTGGGGAGGACGGATCCCAGAACCAGGGAGTACTTGGGCCTCCATCATGAGAATAGCCTAGGATACTTCTTGAACATGCACATTCCTGGGCCTCATCTTGGCCCTGCAGAGTCCTAACAGCCTGTGGGTAGGCCTGAGAATTTGAATACATTCCTCATGGTGATTCTGAGGCATCTCAGAAGATTGAGGTTAGAAGTTATGGAATGGAGTATTCTAGAATAGTTATCTGGGAACCTGAGCGATGCTGTCCTCTCTTCTCTCCTGACTAGTCATCTTTCTGGGGCCCAGGGTGCCCCACTATCCCTCAGGATCAGTGGTTGTTTACAGATGGAACAGAAGGACTGTTCCACACACAACCTTTCTTATCCTCTTCCCAGGTACGGCTTTGTCATTGCTGTCACCACCATCGACAACATCGGTGCGGGTGTGATCCAGCCAGGCCGAGGCTTTGTCCTGTATCCAGTGAAATACAAGGCCATTGTGTTCCGGCCCTTTAAAGGGGAGGTCGTAGATGCCATTGTCACGCAAGTCAATAAGGTGAGAGCGGTGTACACTGGGGAGGCAGCGACTTGGTCTATCAGAAGATGTCGGTCCTGACCACACTTAATAACTTTGTGTCTCTGGTTGAGTCATTTTATAGCCTTCGATTCCATTTGCTCATTGTGAAATGAAATGCTAATTTGTGATCTTGCCCGTCTCCCTGAGTACACGTGAGCCAACACCATCATAGCTGCTTAGAGTTGTTATCCTGGGGAGATAAATGCAAGGCCTTGTCACAAAGGGATGCTTTAATCCCTTCTCATGCACCCTTTTTTAAAAAAAATAAAAATTATTTTATGTGTGTACTATCAAATCAGATCTGACTGGTACAGGAGATTATCCATCGTTCTCCAGCAGAGCATCTGGTGGATTCAAACTGTGTACCTCTGGGATTGCAGGGCAGCTTTTTGCCATTGGGCCACAAGAGCTCCCTATGCTCCCTTTTTTAAGACACTAAGTCTTAGGGAAGCTGCACGTTCTGATCTAATTCACATTGCCAGCTAGTGGTGGTTGTTGTTATGTGCCATCGAGTCGTTTGCGACTCATAGCAACCCTATGCACAACAGCCCTAAACCCTGCTCTGTCCTGTGCCAATTGCACTGCCTCTGACACACCCATCCTGATTACCCCAGTCCTGAATCAGTCCACCTCATAGAGGGTCTTCCCCTCCTGCGCTGTCCCTCCACCCTCCCAAGCATGATGTCCCTCTCCAAGGACCTGTCCATCCTTGCAGCATGCCCAAAGTATGTCAGACGAAGCCCCAGAATCCTTGCCTCCAAGGAGCAGCCTGGTTTAACCCTCTCCAGGATAAATCTGTTTGTTTTCTTGGCAGTCCATGGTACATTCAACACTCTTCTGCAGCACCACAGCTCAAAGGTATCAGTTCTCCTTCTGTCCTCCCTAGTCATTGTCCAACTCTCTGATGCATAACAAGTGATTGCAAAGACCATGGCCTGTATCAGATGCACCTTAGTCTCCAGAGAGACACTGTTGCTCTTGAGTACTTTAGAGAGGTCATTAACAGCAGACTTTCCCATCGCAATACGTTTTTTGATTTCCTGGCTGCTGGTGCCAAGAGTGTTGACCGTGGAGCCGAGCAAACTGAAGCTGTGAACAATCTCAATCTCTTTGCCATCCATCCTGATGTTACCAGTTGGTCCAGTGGTGAGAATCTTTGTCTTCTTGACATTGAGCCTTAGTCCATACTGAAGGCTGTAGTCCTTGACCCTCTGCAGCAAGTGCATGAGGTCCTCCTTGGTTTCAGCAGGCAGGGTTGTGTCATCTGCATAACGCAGATTTTTAATAGTGGTAGTGTGTTACTCAAATCAGGGCTTCAGGCTGGTTGAGAACAGTTCTGTAATTGGTGTCCTAAACAAAGGCCTTGCCTGCGTTCGTTGCATAGTAACCAAATCTGTCACCTGTGGGATTTGGATCTGAGTAGAAAACAAAGGACTGTGTCTGCACAAAGGTGCCAGTTCACAGTGCTCTGCTTTGAATATGCAGAGTCCTGCCAATAATCCAGCCCCCGATGTCAGCCCCTGACACTGTCAGGAGATGGCACTGGGGCAGGGCTTTTGAAGAGCAGCGTCATTGGCACCACTCGACAGAGGCACACATTGAGAGCAGCCACCGGAGCCATCCTCCCTCTCTCAGAATACCACGGGCAGCTGATGGGGTTGCCGCGCGTCCTACGCATGGCCCTTGTTTAGGGACAACGGCAATTACAGAGCTACCTGTGCCAGTTAGAAACCCTGGTTCAAATCCATAACTGACACATCCCAGGCCTAAGCTCTTTATTCAGAACCAAAACCCACTGCCACTGAATTGGAACCTACTCTTAGCTGACCCTCCAGCTCATTTTCCAGGTGCTATAAATCACACAAGAAGATATTACCTACTTTTTTTTTATTTTATTTTATTCTTTTTGTGTGCGTGTACCGTCAAATCAGATCTGACTGGTACAGGAGGAGATTGTCCCTCCTTACCCGGCAGAGCATCTCGTGGATTCGAACCGTTCACCTCTGGGATTGTAGTTGCAGCTCCTTGCCACTAGGCCACCAGAGCTCCCCTGATATTACCTACTTTTGTCCTTTGAAGCTGCTGTTGGATTTGAACCTCCAGAGAGTCGCCACCTTTGGAATGGCAGCATAACTAACTCCTACCAACGAGGCCACCAAGGAGCTCTAACCTCTTTATTACTATGCTCAATTTATTATAAAGTCAAAGTTTAAAAAAAGTAGGGAGGCAATCCCAGAGGTGTGCAGTTCGAATCCACCAGATGCTCTGCTGGAGAAGGAGGGACAATCTCCTCCTGTACCAGTCAGATCCGATTTGACGGTACACACATAAAAAATAATTTTAAAAAAAGTAGGGAAAGAGGAAAATAACAACAAATACTGCAGTTTAGAATGGTTTAAAACCATGAAGACTGTTAATAAAAATCAAGTAAAGACGGGAAGCTTTCGAGTCTTTGGAGGGCTAGCTAGGAATCAGCGCCACACATTTCCCTTCTAGGTTGGCCTCTTCACGGAAATCGGTCCCATGTCCTGCTTCATCTCTCGACATGTAAGCCTGGGTGCTCGGGCTGGGGTGGCGCTGGGGTGGGAGGTGTTACAGAGGATAGATGCCCCTTCCAGACCATTGACTGCAACTGTTTAAACTGCTAACAAAATAAAATAAAATAAACTGCTGACCTCACCTCCCTCTCCTTTCAGTCCATCCCATCAGAGATGGAGTTTGATCCCAACTCCAACCCTCCCTGTTACAAGACAGTGGATGAGGTAAGTCGTAGAAAGAGGGCAGGGAGACAAAACTAGAGTCCGAGCTACTTTTTTTTAAAATAAATTATAATTTGAGTAAAATTTATAAACCTACTGGTTTTCCATTCAATCACTCATATACATTTTATTTAATAGCATTAATTACAAAACCCGCCGTATAATTGCACTTTGCCCATTTCTTCTCTGTGATTCTTTTTCCATCCATCCAGCTAACTCCTTTCTGCTTTAGTCTTAGGCCAATGCTACTTTTTAAAATTTTTTTAGACTTTTTTTTTTACTATTTTTAAA